AGGAGTCTACACTCAAAATCTGTTTAAAGTTTGAAATATTACAATTTAAATACAAATTATGTTTATAAAATATGTACTACATAAAATAAAGTTCCTAAAATGAAGGGAATCACTACACATAGGCCATAGCCTATGGAATATTATTATAGTTTTTGTATTTTATTATGATCATTGAAAAATATTAGGTTAATATTTCTATTTAGCTATTTATTTTTTTACTTGAAATCAAACTTAATAATATTATATAGATAATTTTATTTGTGTATTTGATTAACAAGTAGTAACACTAGTCGATATTTATGATAATATTTTTAAATTATAATTTAATTTAAAAAATTATAAAAAAATATACTTTTAAGAAAAGAGGGTTGGCCCGTAGCCCACGCACTTGTGGACTGTGCCGGCCATTTTTTGGCCCACATAAAAAATGGGCTAGCCCGACCTGACCCGTCAAATTGCAAAGCCTGTATGGGTTAGCCCGGATGGGGTGGACCAGCCCATATTGATGGCTATATTAGTGACACATGTTTGTCATATTTAAAAATTTAAAGGTCTAAATTTAATTTAATTTAACAAGCCTCTTAGCCATAGTTAAAAAATAAGTTAGGGAAAAATTCACTAATTTTGGTATGAAAATCTCATCTTTCACTAATTTTGGCTCCTCATTAATATAATTAATTATTTTCATGATATATGTTTTACATATCTATTAATATAATTTTCCTAATCTAAAGTTAAGAATTCTCTCAGTTTTTTTTTTATATCTGACAAAATAAAATCATAGATAAAGATGTAATGAGATCAAACATGGGGTAAAAAAACAGCAAAATAATTAAGAAAAAAGAAGGAACCCACTTTATTTTTAAACATAAATTTATTGTAAAACACTTTACAAATACTATTATATAATTTTGTTTCTCTCCATTTGTTTTTCATTTCTGGCATAAATTTATTCTTCAAGTACTTGTCTTTTTAATCAACAAAAAAATAATTTTAATTTTTTTCCTGTCAAAGATAGTTTACAAGATTTTATCAAAAGACAAATGAAAATATAACATTATATGTTAAAGTAATTTAGAAAGGATGATATGAAATTTGTCTTTTTTAATACTAAATTTCTAGAGATTATCGAGTATTAATGTGTATTTTGTATCCTTTATGTTAAGGATATTCATGATTTCATTTGATTAAATTTTTAAAAAGAATTAAATCAAATTAATTATATAAAATAAATCAAAAAGTCTAGTTAATGCTAGCTCCCCCATTTTCTCTCTCTCGCTCTCAGTACTTCAATAAAGTCTCCACCGATGAGCCATTCGTACTGGTGGTTATCAGAGAGAGTGCACAAGTCATCCCAAAGTTCTATCTTAGTACTGAAGTCAGGGCTCGCATAAATAGCAGAAGGGGGGGGGGGAGTTAGGGAGTACCTTGACTAAGACATGGATACCTTGGGGATTCATCTTAAGAGAGTCGTCCTTCCACATGATGACTATTCCTCCAAACAGGTCATCCGCAGCGAACTGAATCTGAGAATCAAACCTTAACTCATCAGTAAGGTGCTTGTGATCCTTTATCTGGGTTTTAAGTAGGACTAGCATGGAGGGTTTGTGAGTTTTCACGAGCATATCACACAACCTTCTAAAGCTTGAGCTATTGGTTCATCTAGTGTTCCATATGATGAAATTCATTAGTGTCTTTGGTGTGGGTGGCTGATTCTGAAGGCCCTTTCCTTTCTCCACACGGGCTTGCCTTGCTTGCTCCTTCATTAGGTTTTGGGCTACAGTTGCCGTAACACCCTTTTCTCGTTTCCGAGGTTCCGCAAACACATACTGAGGTGTTTACGGAAGTAGGCTACTATCGTTGCACTGGTGAGGTTGGTAAACACTTTGAGCCATAATTTTTCCAAGACCATCACTTTTGTGTTTCGTCCCCAAGCATCACTAAGAGTTCCTCAAGTTCTTGGGTGTTTTTTCTTAATGCTTCCGGTGATGTGGGTTCCTCTCCTTCTTTGTTTTGATTTTGCATTCCTACTCCTTGTTCGCAGCTCGTGTTTTGGGGATACAATATTGGGTGCTCCAATGGCATCCAAGGGACGAATATTGGGCTTTGGGAGCTGGGGAGATATGGGAAGGATGGGAAGAAGGGCAGACTCTGGAAATTCTATCCCATAAGATTGTTGAGGTCGGGCATTGACAACATATTGATACTTTTCATGAGTTGGGTTTGTCTCAGCGTTTGTATCCAGATCTGCGACCCCAGTCTCTCTATCGCATGATCCATACCCTCATTGATTATTTGGACAAAGAAGGAAGGATCTTGGAGGAGGAGGACTATAAAGGTGCTGATCTTAGGCATATTTATATGCCTAGAAATCTAATAATGCACATATTTAAGCTAAGTTTGAATTCAATATGTATTTGTTTATAGTCTTATCAAGTCTTTTGTGTGTTTATGAGCTAACCAATATGATTAGTTGTGTAGGTGAGCGTAATTGGAGAAATGAGCTCGAAAATGGAGAGTGGGAAACACAAAATATTCAAGGCTAAAAGAAGCAAGGAAGAAAGAGGAAGAAAGGTATACCAAGGCAATGTCGTATCCTCTTCGCGTCGCGGAGAGGGGGTCTTAAATTAATTCGCTAGAGTTGATATTAGGCAGAGCCCTCTGTGTACTCTCTGCGTCAAGGAAAGGGAGTATAATTGTGGTTGCGAAATTTAGTTTTGAGACAGAGTAGTCTGTGGCAAGTCTGTGTCACGGAGAAGAGAAAAGATTCACAGAATGAAAGTTGAAGATGCCTCCGCGACGCGCCCCTGGGTTCCAGTTTTGGCCGTTTCGACTTTTAGTATAAATAGGTCATTATTTTATTTTATTAAATATTCTTTTTCTGGATTTTGAAGAACGACGACTTGGGAGAACGTTTTCACCATTTTTAGGGTTCTTTCCTAAACTCTTTTCTTTTTTATCTCTTTATGTTCATTAAACATTGTTTGATCGATTCTTGATTATGAGTAGCTAAATACCCTTGTTCTAGGGTTGTGGCTACATGATGATTGTAATCTATTCAGTTTTCATTGGGTTAATGTCAATTATCATATGAATCTTTCTTATGTTCTTGCTTTCTATATTTCGTGATTAATCACTATTGAAATAAATACCTTGTCCAAATTGAACTCGGGAGAGGAATAAGAGGATAGAACGTGGGACATAAGGAGCATGATTAATTCTAAATAACTACAGTTAATTTGTATCTAGGATAGAGATATACCTAGAAATCATGCTTGGGTCACCACATAGGAAGAAATCGTAATGCTCGGTACTTAATCCATCCTATCCCCGTTAAACGATGTAGTTAGGGTGTTATTTATCGTAGGCGATTAGAGGCTGGGAGACCATGATCATACATTTAACCCTGTGATTCATTAATTCGATAGTTGATAATTACCCATATAAATGATATTGATTGCATGAATCCTGATAGAAGCTGCAGCCCTGGACTTTACCTAATCATTGTTTTTAAACCCTTGAAATTAAATCGCGTTTGTACATTTTGTTACAATCTTAGTATTAGAAACTAAATCACTTTGGAAATCTTGAATACACTTGTGTTTAGCTGAAAGTCAGTGAAATTGAGTGATTCTAAGAGTAAGTCCCTATGGGTACGATACCCGACTGTTAAAAAGAGCCACTTTAATACTTAAACGACCACGTACACTTGCGTGTGCGATTTGGACGCAACAAGTTTTGGCGCCGCTGCCGGGGACTTTAGAATTAGGAATTATTTGATTTTTCTGATTTCTGAAGTTAAAAAGCAAGTGTTGACAACTTGATCTTAGCATTTCATTGTTGCAGGTTGTATTAGAATTTCAAACTGGACAACGATCAAGGATTGGTATAGCCTCTAGTTGAACCGAAAAGATTCGTTCACTACTGGAGAAGGCAACGACGACTTACTTATCCGGTCCCTCTTGTTGCTAGTGAACCAACATCTCCAGTAGCAAGAGTTGAGGAAGACGAACCTAAAATAATGGCTAAGTTGAAAGTAAGAGACATGGCAATCCCACGTCCCACCAATGTGACATCATGCATTCAGAAACCTGAAGTTGGTGGAAGGTTTGAATTGAAGTAGAGTATAGTGCAATTATTGCACAATAATGGACAGTTCACTGGTCTGTCGCACGAGGATCCAACAATTCACATTCAAAATTTCCTCGAGATCAGTGATACGTACACTCCAACTGGAGTGAATGTGGATTATGTGAGGCTCACTTTATTCCCCTTTTCTCTGCTTGGGGAAGCAAAAAGATGGTTAAACTCAGAGTTTGCGAACTCAATTACCACTTGGAATGACCTAGCACAGAAGTAAATTGACGTTGATGAGCTGCCCACATCATCATCAGTCTAATGAGGTGTTAGTCCATACCTTCATTGAAGGATTGGAGCCTAACATCAAAATTCTACTTGATTCAGCTGCAGATGGTCAGGCTTTAAAGAAGACATATGGTGAACTATTCACCTTGCTGAGCAAGATCTCACAGGGAAACCCCGAATGGAATGGAGGAGGGGTGAAACCTGTAATTTAGAAAACTACACGTATGCTAGAGGTAGATGATGTGACTATCTTAACTACACAAATTGCTGCTATGCAGAATATGATGAACACCCACTTCACCAATCTAGCATTGGGACAACAGTCCACACAGGTAAATGCAGTTCAACAACCACCATCTTGGTGTGAGATATGTAGAGGTGGTGACCATAGCGCAGATGTATATGGTGCAAACCCAGATTCTGTTAATTTTGTAGGAAATGCACAACGAGGAGGAGGCCAGCAGAATTATGGGAACTCTTATAACCCAAGTTGGCGCAACCACCCGAACTTTTCTTGGGGTGGAAATCAAAATCAGGGTCAAGGCCATAATCAATATAGATCCCAAGGAAATGCATAGGGGTACCAACCACAGGCCCAACGGGAGCAGCCGAATAAGCAATCTGGTAACATGAGCATGGAGGACATGCTGAAAAATATCATGGTTGATCAAGCCTAGTTAGTTGCTGATGTAAGGAGTAACCAGTTGATTACACAAAATCTGGAGAAGCAATTCGGGAAGTTTTCTAGTGCACAAAATTCACTACCGCAAGGAGGTTTGCCGAGAAATACTGATCCAAATCCTAAGCAGGTAAATGCGGTAGGTACACGCAGTGGTTTACAATTGGAGGAGTTAGCTCCTAAGAAAAGAAACACTGACGCTGTGAGTAAAGAGAGTGAACCCAATAAGAGCGAAGTTGTTGCACAAGAAGAAAGCATGCAACCAATTGTGAAACCACCTCCTCTATTCCCTCAAAAGTTCAAGAAATAGAAGGAGGATGAATGTTTTGGTAAGTTTCTCTCCCTTTTGAAACAAGTTCACATTAACTTGCCATTGGTAGATGTTTTGCAGGGTATACCCAGGTATGCAAAATATGTGAAGGAGATTGTGGCAAATAAAAGGAGGCTGACAGAATATGAGACTGTTGCACTTACTGAAGAGTGCAGCTCCAGAATCCAAAATAAGTTGCCCACTAAACTGAAAGATTCGGATAGCTTTACGGTTCAGATCACTATAGGGCAGAGCATTCATGCGCGAGGATTATGTGATCTAGGAGCTAGCATAAATCTGATGCCAACTTCTTTGTACAAAAAGTTGGGGTTGGGTAGTCCTAAACCTACTACCATCATCTTACAGTTGACTGATAGATCTGTAGCTAGGCCTGAGGGTGTTGTGGATAATGTTTTAGTGCTAGTGGGGTCGTTAATATTCCAGTAGATATTATTGTGCTGAATTTTGAGCCAGATCCTGATGTCCCTTTCATCTTAGGAAGATCGTTCTTAGCGACTAGGAGGACCATGATAGATGTGGCAGCTGCGCAACTTACTATGCGATCACATGATAAAATGGATGTGTTTGATGTCTATAAAGCATTAAAGTTGCCAGCTGTGTATGAGGAGTTGTCTGCCATAACTGTGATAGATCTTGAGGCAGAGGGTCGCTACATTGAATCTAAGGACCCTTTATAGCGAGTGTTAGTAGGGGATGATATTTATGGGGATGTTGAGGCACAAGAAATTGTGCAATTTCTTGATGTGGCACTTGTAGGTACATCTGGAGATCTATGAGAGCCTTTGAATAGGGTGTTAGGTCTTCCACTCAAGCCCTCCATTGAAAAAGCACCTCAGTTATAACTAAAAGCATTGCCAGCTCACCTCAGGTATGCATTTTTGGGTGAAGATAAAACTTTACCGGTTATTTTGTCTGCAGCATTGTCTGATGCACATGTGGAAGCAACATTAATCATCTTAAAAAAGAGGAAAGCAGCTCTGGGTTGGCAAATGTCCGACATCCGTGGGATTAGTTCCATGTTGTGCATACATAAAGTATATATGGATAAAGGGTATAAGCCAAGTGCACAACATCAGCGGAGACTAAACCTATTGATGAAGGATGTGGTAAGAAAAGAGGTGATCAAGTGGTTGGATGCAGGAATTGTGTACCCAATATCAGACAACAAATGGGTAAGTCCAGTACAGTGTGTGCCAAGAAGGGCAGAATGACGGTGGTGACCAATAAGAAGAATGAGTTAAGGCCCACAAGGACAGTGACTGGGTGGCGAATCTGCATGGACTACAGGAAGTGGAATGACCCCACCAGAAAGGACCATTATTCGGTACCTTTCATTGATCAAATGTTGGATAGGTTGGCTGGCCAGGAATATTATTGTTTCCTTGATGGTTATTCAGGGTACAATTAGATCGTCATTGCACTAGAGGATCAGGAGAAGACTACATTCACATGTCCGTATGGCATGTATGCGTTTAAGCGCATGCTATTCGGCTTATGCAGTGCCCCAGCCACATTTCAGAGATGTATGATGGCAATCTTCCATGATATGGTGGAGGATTTTGTTGAAGTATTCATGGACGACTTCTCAGTGTTTGGTGAGTCTTTTGAACTTTGTTTGACTAATCTTGACAGAGTTCTTGCTAGGTGTGAAGAGACAAATCTAGTGCTAAACTGGGAGAAGTGTCCCTTTCTGGTTAGAGAAGGAATTGTGTTGGGGTATAAGATCTCCAAAAGTGGGCTGGAAGTTGACAAAGCTAAAGTGGAAGTTATTGAGAAGTTGCCACCCCCCATCACACTGAAAGGAGTGAGAAACTTACTGGGACATGCTGGTTTCTATAAAAGGTTCATCAAGGACTTCTCTAAGACTGCAAGACCTATGTGCAGCATGTTAGACAAAGAGATAAAGTTTGTTTTTGATGAAAAATGTTTGCAGGCATTTGAGCTACTGAAGAAGAAGTTGATTGAAGCTCCTATTCTTATTGCTCCAAATTGGGAGCTTCTATTTGAGCTTATGTGTGATACCAGTGACATAGCAGTTGGGGCAGTACTTGGGCAGAGAAAAGAGAAGATGTTCCATTCTATCTACTATGCGAGGAAGATAGTTGATGCAGCTCAATCGAATTACACTCTGACTGAAAAAGAGATGCTAGCATTGGTGTTCACGTTTGATAAGTTCATATCATATTTGGTGGGAACTAAGGTTATAGTCTATACGGATCATGCTGCAATCAGGTATTTTTTCAATAAGAAGGATGCCAAGTCGAAGCTGATTAGGTGGATTCTGCTACTACAAGAGTTTGATCTAGAGATAAGGGACAAGAAGGGAATTGAGAACCAGATAGCTGATCATATGTCCAGGCCGGAGGATTCATCTCATGTGAAGAATGAAAGGTAGATTCGTGAAGAGTTTCCTGATGAGCAATTTGCTTGCTTTGGACATTACTCAAGTGCCTTAGTATGCTGATATTGTGAATTTTCTGGTGAGTGGTTTATTTCCACCTGGGGCCTCAACACATCAAAAACAGAGGCTGAAGTATGATGCACGCTTTTATATATGGGATGAGCTCTTCTTATTCAAGTAGTGATCGTAGGCATAATTATATGCCTAGAAATCTAATAATGCCCATATTTAAGCTAAGTTTGAATTCAATATGTGTTTGTTTATAGTCTTATCAAGTCTTTTGTGTGTTTATGAGCTAACCAACATGATTAGTTGTGTAGGTGAGTGTGATTGGAGAAACGAGCTCGAAAATGGACAATGGGGAACGTAAAATATTCAAGGCACAAAGAAGCAAGGAAGAAATAGCAAGAAAAAAATACCAAGGCAATGTCGTATCATCTCCGCGTCGCGGAGAGGGGGTCTTAAATTAATTCGCGAGAGTTGATATTAGGTAGAGCCCTCCGTGTACTCTCCACGTCGTGGAGAGGGAGTATAATTGTGGTCGTGAAATTCAGTTTTGAGACAGAGTGGTCCGTGGCAAGTCTGCGTCACGGAGAAGAGAAAAGATTCGCAGAATGAAAGTTGAAGATGCCTCCGCGACGCTGTCCTAGGTTCCAGTTTTGGTCATTTCGACTTTTAGTATAAATAGGTCATATTTTTATTTAATTAAATATTCTTTTTCTGTGTTTTGAAGAACGACGACTTGGGAGAACGTTTTCACCATTTTAGAGTTCTTTCCTAAACTCTTTTCTTTTCGATCTCTTTATGTTCATTAAACATTGTTTGATCAATTCTTGATTATGAGTAGCTAAATACCCTAGTTCTAGGGTTGTGGCTACATGATGATCGTAATCTATTATGTTTTCATTGGGTTAATGTCAATTATCATATGAATCTTTCTTATGTTCTTGCTTTTCGTATTTCATGACTGATCACCATTAAAATAAATATCTTGTCCAAATTGAACTCAAAAGAGGAATAAGAAAATAGAACGTGGGACATAAGGAGCATGACTAATTCTAAATAACTAGGGTTAATTTGTATCTAGGATAGGGATATACCTAGAAACCATGCTTTGGTCACCATACATGAAGAAATCGTAATGCTCGGTACTTAATCCATCCTATCCCTGCTCAACGATTTAGTTAGGGTGTTATTTATCACAGGAGGTCAGGAGACCATGATCATAAATTTAACCCTGTGATTCATTGATTCGATAGTTGATAATTACTCATATAAATGATATTAATTGCATGAATCCTGATAGAAGGTGCAGTCCTAGACTTTACCCAATCACTGTTTTTAAACCGTTGAAATTGAATCGCGTTTGTATATTTTGTTACAATCTTAGTATTAGAAACTAAATCACTTTTGAAAACTTGAATACACTTGTGTTTAGCTGAAAGTTAGAGAAATTGAGTAATTCTAAGCGTAAATCCTTGTGGGTACGATACCCGACTCTTAAAAGGAGCCACTTTAATACTTGAACGACCACGTGCACTTGCGTGTGCGATTCGGATGCAACTGGTACCCCCTATGTTCACCTTCAACACTACACACTAATACTAGAGTGATAGCTCCAGCCACGAAGTTAGGGAGTGGCTTGGTGGTAGTGATGTTATCGTGAAGACTAATGGTTCGCTCATGGGGGTTTGTGGGTTTGTCTGAGAGGATAGTTGGTTTGATTACATTGTTGAACTTAGGGCTTTGATCGAGTTGTTTGCTAGTGCGGAGTAGGAGTGGTTTTTCTTCTTACTAAAATGAGTAATGTGATAAAAAGTTAATGCGACGACCATAGTCACTTCAACAGGGCCAGAATGATGATTGTTTTTCTTAGAGTAGTAGCTACTCTGGTGGGGGAGACCCGTGGAATTCTCTTTTCAATGAGGGTCTCCGTGTGGAAGGGGTGGGTGGATTGAGTTTTGGGCTTAGTGCCCACAATCTCATTACTCCTGATGGAATTTGGGGGGTTTTGGGGAATCTACCTGCTTTAATTGAGTCGTAGAGGTAGAGTTATGGCGGGTTGGTATGTTAATCTTAATGGCTGAATTAGTTGGGCAATGAGATTTTGGAAAGTGCTTCCCTGACTCACTTTTGTAATTATTTTTCATGTTTTTATTTGCAATTGTTAAATCATCGGTGGTAGTTTCCTGGCCATTGTTGTGCCATAATTTCTCAAGGGTTATGTTAAGGAACTAATTACCTGATTATGGGTCATATGATTGTACATTTTGTAGTGCTTTGCCTTTAGCTGGTATGTTGATTCCCTGCAGCTTGTCCGTTATGCTAGAGTTTTTCTTCCTTTTTGGGAAGGCAACCACTTTCCTTTCCTATTTGGGCTCCTTTGTGGTTTGAGTTGCTTTTTGGGTGTTGACGAGTAGATTTAGTGGACGACAATTACAACTCTTTCGAGTATGGCCAAGTTTCCCACATCTAGTGCACAGAATATCATCCCCGTAATAGATGATGTTTTGTTTGTGGCATCCAATATTGACTTCGGTCTTTAGAGGGACTTCCAGATGGAATTGAATGCAAATGCGTGTATCGACCCCTCAACGTTGCAAAGGTGCATGTTTCAATTTTCAGTAGTTCCCCCAATCTCTTTCTCACCTTCTCTAGTACTTCTTTATGTAGAACTTTGTGGGGAGTTGAGGCAGTCTAGCCCAGATTGCAGTGTGGGTTAGTGTTGATGCTTCCAGGACAAAGTTTGGTTCCCATCGCTTAACAGAGAGAAAGTGTCTTGCTATAAACCAAGGGCCTCTGTGTTTGCAGTTTTTCACTTTGTGGAAGTTCGCTACAAAATAATTTGAACCCAGGTCGATCAAAGTAAGGGATTTCGATATTTAATCGACTTGGGTTCAAATAGCTTCCACGTATATGTTAGTTTTATTTTTAGATAGGTGTGAGACATCTTCTTCTCGAATACTTTGATTATGACTGAGAGGCTCCAAGGTTTATATATTCTCTGTTTATCTTCCTCTGTTAGCACGATTTCGTCTAGGGAGGTGCGGGAGTTCTTCTTCCACAATGGATGCTTTTACAAAGTAAACCGTGTTAAGGGATTTATCTTTGTTAATTAGTACATCTTTGAAGGATTATTGATGTTGCTTTTGCCAATTTTTCGTTATCGTAGCAGAGAGTCCGTCTAGTGGTTCTGGTCGATCCAGTGAGATCGAAGTTGGTTGCTTCGTGGTTTAGTGGGTGAACATGACCATAATCTAGGAAAGAGTCTTTCTT